GACCTGCCATCTCAATAAACTACAACTTCATCTGTGGCACATAAAACAGTATCTACAACTACCAAGGGTCATGCTTAAGCACTTTTCTGGTATGAGTCAGGCAATGTAGCAAAAGCATACAGTCTTTCCTATGTTACCCACTGAGGAGGTGGCCAGCTTTCCTTTTCTGACAGGTATAGAACTTGGAGAGGGCAACACGATTTGAATGATGGAAAAGTGTGGTGATGTCACTCAAGAAACTAAGCATGTTAGCCAAAAGATATGCTGTCTTTGTAATGAGATCTTTTAGAGATGCAGCTGTTTAGTCCTACCAGGATAAAATACTTCACTTAGCACAAATTATAGGAATGCCTGCCTTCCTGTGACTTAACTGCCTCTTAGTAATTAAAATGTTGAAACTTCATGGCAAAAAAAATCCTGTATAAATGGATGTGTGACAAACAGGATTTGTTTTGGTGTTTTTTTTCCCCTTAGTAGGTGTTATGTGTTAGTCTGTTAGATGGAGGGATTTGTTCTAAGGTCAAAGAGCTACTTCAGCTCCTGTTCGTCAGGCATTGAACTTATATCCCTGGACACTCTTCAATAACCACAGCTCTTCACATTCAGCTACCCTGAGGGTGCATCACATGTTGCAGTTAACATCTAACACAAAAACAGTTGACATTTCTAAATCCTTCTTTTCCCTGAGACTGCTGTTACTCACATTAAAGTTCCAGAACACCCATTTTGAACAAGCGAGAGTAAAACATCTAAAGTAATTCATTATTAGGTAAGATTTATCAAGCACAAAGATTTTCTATCCAGCACTTCAACTGTTCCAAGGTAAAGCTACCTGGCCTACAAAAATATTTCCCTCTCAGATCTGTCTTTTCCTTTCTAATTAGAATATTGCAGGGCATTTAAAACCTTTTAAGAATCTCAGCTAATAAAATGAAAAAAGAGAAAAACAAAATGTAAATGTGTAGAACCTGCATTCTGCCGTTTCAGCATCTAATATGGAAAATAAAAAAGGTTTTTTGGTTTTCAAAGATATGCCAAGTGTTACATCCTTGTGTTGTCTTAATGAAATTACGTCAGAGAATGTCCTCTCCTCAGAACGATGTTATAAGATGAAGTTGGAGCCATCTGGTCACTACTTACTGTACAGCTAGCAGGTCACTCTGAGCCTAAGTAGCTGCCAGATTTAAATAAGTAATATTATTGTGCTGAGTTGGGGTTTAGTTGACTTTCCCCTAAATTACATCCAATCTTTTTGAGGTTGGTTCTTCACTAAAAAAGAGATTATAAATTCTGTATTACAAGAAGATGTATGATGCCCATAAACCAGAAAAATTAGTTAAAAAGCGCATACAAATGAGTCTCTTCTTGTCCCTTGTCATCATTAAGAAATTAGAGTTTACAGCTGAGATTTCTGTCATCAGTAAAGGCACTGCAAGAGATCAGTTGGATGCCAAAGGGACATCATACTTTCTGTCTATATTTTTAACTTCTGCGTTAGACAGAAAACACAGCAAATCAGAAAGTTTAACAGATGTTCCTTAGGGGAATGAGGATAAGAAATTATGAGAAGTATGACATTCAGGTTAAGAAACTAAATTTCAGAAGGCAAGAAATATAGCCCAAGAGCAGCTCAGACCTTCTCTGCCTTAAATATGGTCTTAATGATTTTATAGTAAATTATTCCACAAGAAAATTATTTCCTTATTCCTTAGGACAACATAGAAAGGTAAGACAGGATGTGAGTGTGTTTTACATCTTCTTTCTATGGCCTGCAGGAAAGCTGAGGCCCTATGAAGCCATTTTTTCAGTGTCTTGCAAGGTACTCACTGGCTACACTGCTGTATCCATAATACCACGTGAGAAGAGAAGGCTGTATCTCAGGAGACAAATTCAAAACTGTCCTTTTTCTTGTATGCCTAGATGCATAGAGAAGTGCTTCATCTCCCTGAGCATCTCTCCTTGGGTTTTCCTGAGCTCAGACAATCCTTCAAAATGACAGTTCAAAATGAAACTCAGTTTGGAATAAAGTAGACTTCTATTGAACATCTAAAGCTGTATCCCTTGAGCATCCCAACACTTGAATAGCAATCTCAAGGTTGAAGCAAAAGATGGATGAAGACAGCAGGCGAGCTGAACCTTCCATGCTTAAGATCGAGCTCCATGATTGATGAAACATCAAAACCATTCACCAAATGTAATTAATTCAGTGACAGGCAGCTATGCTGGCAGTGTTTGAATACATAAATTTGGAGTGGTAGCTCTTCCTAATGTGTCTCCGTGGCTGCAAACTCAAATAACCAGTGATAATACAGATAAAAGAAAGTGTCACTAACTGCTTTAATATTTCTAGCTTGTAAAAAAGTACTGCCATAGTTGTGAACTATTTATTGGGAATTGACAGCTCATTTGGATCAGAAGTCAACTTGAGAAAGGAGATGTGCATATAGCCCGGTTAGGAAGGAGATACATATAGAGTTTGGGAAGGCTAGCAAGAGAAGAGAAGGTGGTCAGGCAGCCCAGGACACAAGCAAGCTCTCCCCAGGAGAAACAATGTCCAGGGAGAAGAGCAAAAGTGGCAATGAGACTGGAACTCTCTGGGGTGAAGGCAGCCACAGGGGAAACCCACAGCAATGCTTTGGGCATCTGATTACTTCCAGGCAGCAGCACTTCCTCCAAGAAAAGCTGGAGAGGGTGTTATCAACCACAGACACACACACATTGGTTTATGCATTTTACGCTGCCTGCATTTCTGAAGACGTATGTAAGCACTCTGGCCACTGGCCTCATCTCCCAAGCAGCTCCGGACCAGGACGTCAGTTGGATTCCTATAGGAAAGATGCTTCTGAGAACAGCCATTGTTGTCCTGTATCAGGACAGCATTGTCCATATGGGGTTAATGTGACCCTATTCTACCTCAAACAGTGGCCATCCAAGTCCCCACAAGCCACATTCTTGCCAATCTTTTCATCATGCTGGTTACCCTCAGCACTAGAAGAAGCAGCATTATGGAGGTGACCCAGTGATAGCATAGCCTGTTTTTGTTCCCTCCCCAAGTCACATCTCCTTGCAAAACATCATTTGGCACCATCCGTGACTGCACTGGGTAGCCTAAGGAGGAGTGGTAGCAGTCAAGATACTCTGTGTCTTTTGATCTAGTGGTCCTCACTCTTTCAATTTTTTTTTTTTTAATCTTCAACAATCATTTGGCTTTCTCCAGGTCTGTGTCTTTACAGTTAAATGTTTTTCTTAATATTGCTGTTGAATTAAATTAAAGATACTGAGACACACTTTAAGTCCTCTTTGACAGAGGACCAAATGTTGTCACAGTTTTATGATATCCTGAAAAGTAATCCACAACTGAAAGATCAGCATCTGTCTGGAGAAGAATCCCAAGTAAGCAAACACTGGAATCTCATTAATAGCTTTTCATTGTATGTCTTTCTTTAACAAGGCAACAAGCAGCTTGAAGTAACAAGCTGTTTCCAAGAAAATTAACAGGACTGCTCATCCAAATTATTCACTAGCCTTCTTGGCAAAACCAGGCATCCAGAATGAAAACCTAATTTATTATTTACATTTAAATTTGACTTTTAAATCAGATTTTTCCATGTCTTCTGCCAGTTTCCACTACATTTTTATATTTTCTGGGAACAAATAAGTAAATTTTCCTATACCCTTAAATAGAAGCTGATACTGTCAAGGTATTAAGGGACATTTTCATGTAGTCCTATGTGCTCACATTTATGCTTTACACACCTCCAGAGGTGCTAAAATCAGGTACCTGAGGTCTTATAATCTGTGGAGAGTGGCATTTTAGCATGAAACTGAGAACACATCTATTAGACGCCTCAAAAGGTGAGCTGACTTCAAGCAACAGTAACACACAGTGCTGCCACATACAGAGCTCAGGTTTACAGACCTGTCTGCCAGCACCCTGTCCATGTGGTAACATTGCCCTCTGCAAAGCTCATATGCTGCACAGTATGGTCCGAGGTGCTCAGGCCAAATTAACACATGCCTTCACTCCTCTGTAAGGACTTAGCAGTGGATCCCATCTGCTAACACCACAGCTTGTTTCTAACAAGGATGTATTTTCTTCTGAAGCACAGACTCCTTGTTCCTCACAGCACCTCAGAACAAGGAACGACTGAAAGTTCAAACTGAAGTTCCCTCTTCATCATCAGGCAAATCTAACAGTGAATCTTTACGTTGGTGCTGGCACTGTCAATACCGTACCTGCTTCGCAGCTCAATGGATGTTGCTAGTCTACCTGGATGCCAGTCTAGCAAATATTTCCAGGGCTAACTGGTGCTCCAGGGAGCAATTTCAACCTCACAAAAAGGTGCTCTCAGAGATACAGAAATCATCATCTTGAAAAAAAAGCCCCAAAACCCGTGCATTCTGTGTAGCAGACATTTGAAAAATCTTCTTGTTGCAGGCAATAACTATAACAAAGAACAGAACCGTTGTTTATGGAGTAGGAGGAAAAATGGTTCAAAATGAATGGATACATTGCTGGTTGCAGTAACCTTTATGAAAAAATCTGCTTTCTAATTCCAGAGAACCTCTAATCAACTAATAGAGAAGCATATGCTCTATTTTAAGCTGTATATAATGTAAAGGATGGCTATAATTAATTCAACAGTATAAAGAACTGTATCAGTCCAGATGTACTGTAAGTCAGGCAAGTTATTTATTTTGTCAGCAGTTGAAACATACAGCTGCTTGTGTTTGTTAGTATTTCACATTTACCATTACATTTATTTGCTTACTTACAAACAGGTATGAAGTGCTACTTCTCTTTCAAGACAAATAAATTTCGAACTATAGATATCACAAACATTATACAGAAATATATGAGTTACATGTGAATGGGATACGAGGATGACAGGGAGAGGAGGCAGAAAAAGGTGCTTTCTCTTAAAGGTTTAAAGCAAATTCTGCTGAGAAAAATGATCTAAAGGCTTGGAATTCTGTACTGCATGTTTTGTACACTCGGTTTAATATTTGCCAGGCAAATAACAAAGCCCTCTCAGGCTACAGCAGCATATAATCTCCTTAAATGTTTTCCTGAGCTCCTGACTCCGGAATGCATAGATAAGTGGATCAATGATGGAATTGCACATGATGAGGATGAGGTAGAAGTTAAAGTGGGACATGAAGCACACACAGTAAGGGTTGTAGGGGCAGGAGATGTAGAAAATCAGGTGCAGGAAAAATGGAGCCCAGCACACAACAAAAACTCCAATCAGGATGGTGAGAGTGATGGCCCCTTTCATGTTGGCCCCTTGGCGAATAGGCCCAGTCCCTGGAAGAACAGCAATCTTTTTGATATGCATCCGAGCCATCATAAACATGTGGACGTAGAGGGATGCCATGAGAATGAGCATAGTGAAGAACATACTAATAAGGCAGATGATGACAACACTGCTGTCAGAGTAAATGATGAACAAAATGCCTGAGACTGTGCAAGCAGCCCAGATGCATGTGATGATGACCCCTACACGCTTCACCGTCATGATATTATGGTACTGGAGGGCATAAAAGATAGTAAAGTACCTGTCCACTGCTATGGAGAGGAGACTGCAAATTGATGCAAGCAAGGAACTGCAAATCACGGAATCAATGACATTGTCAATGTTTATGGTAAAGCTCTGTGCATCTGTGTCTGTATTGTTTAGCAGCGTGATGACAATAGTTTCTGATCCATTAGATACACTCACTAGCATATCAGCCACTGCCAAGCTACAGATGAAGAAGTACATGGGCGAGTGAAGGTTCTTGTTCTTGGCTATTGCCACAATGACCAAGACATTCTCCAGCAAGCTGATGATACCCAGAGTCACAAATACTTCAGGAGATACAAAAAGTTGCTCATAGCAGCCTCCTGAGGAGTGGCCCTTTGCATTGGGCTCACTGGCACCTCCGTGCAGTCCGTAGCTGTGGTTCCAGAAATGGAGAGGCTGGAGTGTCCCACGGTGCTGGGTGAAATTCATCTTATGGAGATCCCCTTTCGGCTTCCTGCTTTTAAAACTCCTCGTACTTTTGCATTCCTTTGAAAACCTTCTTTGGCTTTTCAGCTTGGGAAGAAAAGAAAAATAAGCCAGGACCGAGGCACGCAGCAGAACACTTTGACTATTGTCACAAAACAAGGTTTCAAACTCAGAAATACTGGTTTACTTTCTCATGGATGCAGTTTCTGATCATCATCACATTTACCTTGGTGATATGTGTCACAGAGTCCCAACAGGCTGTTTCAGTTCCTGTTTAGTTCACTGGTATGCTGCAAGATATTTTTGTTCCCTTCCATTACGACAGGCAAATAGAAAATGCGTAAGTGACTGCTGCGGAGCAGAAACTAATTTCAAACTGCAAGCACCGGTCTCGCTATCAGACAGCGCATGCCAGCTCTCTGCTTTGTGCTGTGTGGAGGAGAAAAATATTCAGGGCACTCTCCGCCTCTGCTTTGCCTTCCAGCCAATGACGCTCAGGAGCCACAGAAAGTAGAGGGGCTGCTGATTCTGAGCCTCTCAGAAACATCACACGGGCACAGTGGATTCAGATGCAGCATGACCTACCAGTAGCTGAAGGAAAGCAGATGGACTGCCAGAGATTTGTTTATCTTCTTTAATTTCTCAGAATAGTATTTTAATGCTAATTTTCAATTAGCAATCTTACAGAACTGTACTTGCAGTCTTACAGAATTCATGATGTTGAACTGATGGCTTTTTATTTTTCAGACTGTGATTTACTCTTGCCCCTTCTGTGGCACAAAGTTTCTCTGCCTTGTATATATGGCGGGAAAAGGACAAGGAAGCAAGAGGATGCTTATTTCCTCTTGGTTCCCTCTCCCAGATGTCCCTTGCATTGCTAACTCTAGTATGCATTAGTTGTCTATTTGCAGGATTTGTTCTGGCAAGGTTGCATTATACTCTCTAAGCTTATTCTAATTTTTAAGAAATTGAGACCATCTAAAGACTGAAAACAGAACAAAGAGCAGAAGTCACAAAAGGCTTAATAAATTGTCCAAGAGAAAGTAGTTTTTCCCAGGTAATAGCTTTCATCATCCTATTTCCAGAAAGGAAAAGATGATAGAGTTGATTGCAGAAGCTCTGTCACGATCAGGAATTAGGATGTTGGGCAGAAAAAGCAAAGTCAATAAGTAGAATAGACGAAGGCAAGTTACGGAGACAAAGTTGGGGCTCATGCAATGATAATGACACAGAGAACAAAGGCATCACTAAATCTAAAAGTCCATCCGGAGGGACGTCCCTGTGCTTAGCTGGCATGAGTTGAAAGTCAGCTTGTATGCACTCTACCAGGGAAAGCCCTTGAGAAGAAAGAGGAAAAGAATGCCAAATGAATATGAAGAGACAGGGACAAAAGTTGTTTCACTGTTTCCTCTTCAAGGATTGTCATTGAAGATTGAAAAACAAACATACTGAAAAAAAACCCTAAAGTACAGGTGGATTATAGAAAAGTCAGTCACTACACCTAGGAGTAACATTTGCAAGGAAGTTGTTCGAGCGAACGTTTGCAGTCAACTACCAGGAAGGTTACGGAGGGGTTTATATTTAGTGCAAAAGTCTATTTTCTTCAGCCTCTCAAACTTTTTAAATCTTCTATGCATTAGCTCATTTTAAAATGAAAATTTATGACAATACATGGGAATACAGCATGAATGTGGAAGCACAACTATCTGTATTCAACATCACCGCACCAGGGTGAAGCAAGAGTTTACTTTCACATTTGGATTTGCTACAGATCTATGGTTATAAAGAGACATATCAGAAGAAAAGCCTCAGCCAATTATTTCTGAGCCTTTCCCCAGGCAGATTGCTTCGTAAAGCTGAAACATAAACATCCAAGACAAATAAAATAACTTGTGGCACAGGAAATCCCACATTTATCAATATGGACAACATCATTCACCAGCAGTATCCTTGCCAAGAAAGAATAGCTTGCTGCTGAGAGGGTGAGTTTTACTCTCCTATCAAGACACAATGCAAGCCAGGATTTAAAAAGATTTATTGTCTAGTTACTGATCCCTGGGCCAGTATACACTAACTCCTTCCACAGACAGGACTTTCATACTTAACCCTTAAGGACATAGCTACAATGTGAAAGCAGTGAGAAAATTTCTTTAAAGACTGATGTGGGAGAGCAGCATTTACCCAGACAAATTATTTTTCTGCTCCCGCAGCCAGAAATGTGTAATATTCAGGTTATCCCAGGGAAGCAGCACCCCTTCCTTCATCATCTGCCTGCATGCTGGAAGTGCCCATGGCACAGGGATCTTCCCCCTTCACCTACCTGGGTGCAGCTAGAGCAGGAGAGGCTGGCAAGAACAGGGAGAAGCTACCTCCAGAGAATGCTGCCCCATTTGTTCCAGCTGTCTGTCTGTCCGTGTTCTGGCACCACTTTCTCTGCACATTATCTCTGTTCTCATCCCATTTAGCTTTCCATTTACTATCTCTCTTCACCCAGAAGCTATCCAGACGATGCTCAAGGCTTGATTATTCTCTGGAAGTGGTCATAAAAATGCAACACTGCTTATGACAAAGGAAAGAAAAGGACACCTCTCTCCCAGCCACAGCCTTCACACATCTCAAAACTTCTACTTATGCTCTCCATTCTTGGGGCAAGGTTGTTTTGGTGTGTAGCCACCGACATTTTTGGGATGAGGGTACATTACTGGAAGCAGTGGACTTACGGTAGCTTAGCAACTCAGTTGAAGCACTGAAGAGGTGATGTACCATTAACCTGCTTTGACTAGAAGGTAAAACATGTTATATGAGCAGTTTTTAAATTAGAGAAGATGTAAGTGCATCTAAATGCTTCTGCAGTAGAAGAGGGATACATGCCTCTGGCTTCCACTTAAGAAAAACCAAAGCATACGATGCTAAAATCATTCAAAGGATCCTAGCTTTCTCATGCCTGAATATATGTCAGTATTTCAACATTTTTAGTCATAGATAACAGCAGTATTGCCTAATACACATTGCCCAAACTGTTTCTTAAAAAAAAACCAAAGCTGACCTAATATTTATTTCGAAAGTGGTGGCTGGCAAGATTTTCAGCTTGGAAAAACAGCCATGGCTGCAGAAAATTATGAACTGATAATGATATACTAACATGAATTCTATGTCTTAAGAGAAATAAAACATTAACAAAGAATTGATACCAGCCTCCCCTTTTAACATAATGAGGGATCATATGATAAAAGATATTATTTTGATTTGTCTTTTTAAATGTCCATTTTAAGACTTCCTCCTACACAATTCCCCCTGTCTTATGGTCTGTTTCCAGCTACTTCATGATGCCCACCCTCCAGACAGAATTACATTCATCTCCACCTCACAATGTTTTGAGCAGTGGAATTTTCCTCTGCCAGTTGCTTTTGAAAGTCAGAAGAAAGCATTCATTGGAATCAATAATAAGCAGATAAAATCCCAATAGTGATTCAGGAAGAGAGTCATAAGCAGGCTGTATAGCTCCACTGTGGGAGAAAAGGAAAGGTAGAGTAAGTTAGCACAGGCATTTCCCCACTCAAATGCAGTCTGAGATCCCTTTGAATCCCATGTCCGTGTTGCTCAAGCGCAGAGATGGTATTTGCCTCTTCAGCAGCTGTTCGTGGAAACAGACGAAGGGCTGTGAGAGTGGTGGGCAGAAGGAACACCCAAAGAGGCAGATTATTAACACTTAATCCCCCAGAATTGTGCAAATGTGCCAGTACTGTGCAAAGGGTGCTGTTGCATTTACATGCACAAACATAATTGTTGATACATGTGCTCAGTTTCAGTTTTTCAGTGTGTTCAAAACCTCATGTCCATGATGCAGTATAAAGGCTGCGGTGTATTTTAGCATGCAGACTTTGAAATATAAAAGGAGCCAAGAAATTAAACTTTGGAAGGTTCCATGAGATTTTAGCCTGCATTATATCTTTATATTATAGCAAAGGCAAATTCCACGTACCACTCAAAATACTCACCAAAAATGGTTCGAATAATGCAATGTACTTTTCCATCCTACCCAGAGATGTCATTGGAAGAAATATTTCTTTTATTCTTTCTGGGTCCAGTAAATTAGCATATGATCAATATGGAGACACTTGTTTGTTCTTGTATTTGGACGGGTAGATTTTTTAAGTTGGTCCTTGACCACACTGTTCTATTTTCCAGGAAGTATAATACAGGCATGAAGAGACATATTAGTACAAACTTGACTATCATAAACTTCAAATGCCACCCTATGCTATGTAGGAATACAGAGGAGAAGTGGTGCTGGTTTTGGATGAAGTAAAGGTGATGCCTGTTGCAGATAGCAAAGAAAATCCACATGGTCACTAGTTCTGCAGTATAGAACATCAGATGTCTATGTGTAACGCTACTGAACAGAAAAAAAATTATTGTAGACCAAATAATTTATTATTCTTCATGCTTGTAAAAACAAGTTTAAAGAACTAATGAATCAGTGCAGGGTCTTAGTCAACCAAGAATAAATTGTGTAGTCAAACTTTTATTCAGAGTCATACAATGGTGGTTGAATTAGACTTCTGGAAGTCACTTCATCTGGATTCTGCTTTGAAGGGAATTACCACAGATATTGGATCAGATCAGCTGTGGCTTTGTCTCAACAAGTCTTGAAAAAACTTCAAAGAATGGAGATCCCGCAGCCTCCCTGGATAATCTGTTCCTGTTCTGCAATACTTTTCTAGTTAAAAAGTTTTTCCTAAACTGAATCCCTCAAGACTAGGTTACATGCACTACAGGAGAGGCAGAGGGAGTTGGACTGGTAAAGGTTGTTGAAAAGAAGGTGATCTTGTAGCAGGTAAATCTAGTCTAATAGCTGATCAAAGAGAAGGTACAAAGGTTATAGGGCCAAACTCCTCTTGGTAGTGTCAGGGAATATAACAAGACGTGGCAGTTGCAGACTGTGACTCATGACAAGCAGAGGGGCATAATAACCTAATTCAATCTGTCAGCTGTGCTTCTGCTAATGCAGCTGAGTGCCTGCTTTGCCCCATTTGCAATGATAGCATGCTTTTGGCTTATATTCGGGTTGACATTCAACGTAACCCCTTTGCTACCCTTTTCAGCAAAGCTGCCACTCAAGCAGTCAGTGTCTGTAGTGTACTGATGCATGGGGTTATTCCGCCCCACACAAAGAGAGTTGTACTTCTTGTTCACCTTCATTAATTTTCTGTTGGCCCAATACTCACGTATCCCAACATCACTCTGGATCAAATCTCTGC